TTGCCAAGCAGTTTATATGGTTCTAAGATGGAGTTCAGTTTATTAAAACTCTTAGTTAGGCTTTACTGAATTTCAGTTATCCAATTAATAATTTTGTTTTCTTCATAATAATCTATCTCTCCTGCCTCAGTTGTCGTCTAGCCATTATCTAATGAAAATGAAGAGCTATCTCCACCAGCAGGTGGAGGCATGGAGCAGCAACCCAAAATTCCCGCTCAAAGAAAATTACCTACAAACAGGAGACAGTTTTGATATCAACCACAAAAATCCAACAGGTCCCCTACAAAGGGAACTACTGACTGCCCACATTATGCCCCGTATGAGCTTCCATATGTAGATTTTAAGAAACTACTATAATTGTAACATCAATTTGAAATAAGTATCTGTATCACCCCTCATTTACACATTTACAAACTGACCTTGGATATAAAAAAGCCCCTATAAATGAGTAATGAAAATAAAATTTCACAGAAGAAGAAATGTAAATAGTAAAAATCTGTTTATTATAATTTATATCAAACTCAGGGTACCACAGTGTATCGAGTATAGCAGCACAATGTTTATATATGATATATATATGATTGGAGATTAAAGGGATATGATCATTTACCTTAGCATTGTAAAAGGATAGAGCTTTCTGATTAAGCCAAAAAATGTTCTTAACTTTTAATTCAATCTAGTGATTCTACAAATTTTATCACAGATGCATGCAGGGATTTATTAAATGAAGTTTTCTATACAAGAAAAACCTGAAAACAAATGTTCAACATTTGGAGAACATGAGGCTGTTGTCTTTCAAATGATGTAAACATCTGCTCTGCTAATATAGTAGCCACTAGCTATATGGAGTTACTTAAAACTAAACTAAAAATTCATTTCCTCAGTCATACAAGCTACATTTCAACTCACTGCCACTGCTTATATATGGTTAATTACTATCATACTGGATGGTGATGTAAATCTGTCCATCATTACAGAAGGTTCTACAGGACAATGCTGATAGACACACTGTGTATCTAAATGGTCCCCCTCTGTCTTCTTCATCCACCAATTTATCTAGAAGCACCCATTTAACCTTTAGTCTCCTCAGTCTCAACAATGAATCTATCCTGTTTATCCCAGAAATTTGGGTGTTCCTTCCCTGTAGTCTTACCACATCTTTACATTTTCTTAATACTAACTACAAGCAACCTCACAGATATTCTGTGAGTAAATATTTGTGAAATAGTTTTATGTGACATACTTTTTCCCCCCAGTACTAAGGCTTCAACCCAAGGCCTTTGCACTGAGCTGTATCACACCCTCCACCCCCTCGGTTCTTATTTTTGAGACAGTCTTACTAAATTGCCCACACTGGGTTTGAATTTGCAATCCTCCTGCCTCAGCCTTCCAGAGTAATGGGATTACAGATGTGCACCATCATACCTAACAACATAGTATCTTTTAAAAATAAAGACAAGTGTGCTAGCACACATCTATAAAAAAGGGTGGGGATGTAGTTCAGTGTGAAGACCCTCCGTAGGTTCAGTTCCTAGTACTTAAAAACAAAAAGACATAGATGCCACATTTGGCTTATTATGGTATTAAAAGCATATGTTTTTGTGTTATATTTCAATATTTTATTCAATAGCAACACTTTTATATTTTTTAAACTGAACCTCAAATTTCTAACCCAAACAGTATGTTTCCAGTGCACATAAAATCCAACACCCCCCTATACCCTGGCAGTGCTCTAGCATTCCTATCAATACACTAACCCAACTTCCACATTTACCAAGCCCCTATTTATGCAAGGCACCAATGGCAAATAAGAACTCTTTTCTGAAAGACAAATGTTTGAACGCAGCAAGAAACAGGCTTCATTCATTATTCAAATAATTAAAAGAAACCTCAAGCATTTGAAAAGGTAGTATATGAACTGGTTTAAAAATTTAAAAGTTAATGTATCATTTACTTGTCATCCTTAGAAGAGCTACTGTTCCACTAAATGAATTTTCCAGACAACTTAAGCTTGTCCACTTAAGCAACATCACTTATATTGTCTAGTATGGAAATCTTCAAAAACAACAATAACAAAAAAGTACAAATCTTCCAACTTATAAAATCAGACTCTACTAGCATTATTCTAATTAATAATTATTGTGTGGTCCAATGGTAAAGTGCCTAATTTAAATATTCTCAGGATGGTGGCTTGGAAAAGGTTTTCTTCCCATCCCTACCTTTTGGTGTGTCGGCTGTCACTTTTTGTAGCTTATCGCTGCCTCCCATTTCACTTCAAATTTCCTGCTACTTAGAAAAATTTGTTTAAAATTCACATGCTTTGAGAGGATCTCCAAATCTATTTTGGCTGCTCAGTCTTTTCTGCTTATTCCCAGATCTGTTGGTCTGCAATTACAAGTTCTAAACCAAATTTTGGATAAATGCATCACTGTTCTACTTTGATATCCTTACACTACTTATTTAGAACCGATGTTCAGTCAGAGGCAATTTCAATACCTAGTCAGTCATGTAACAAGTATTTATTAAGTCCCTACTATGAGCTGCACTCCACTATGATAAAAAGAAAGAGCTGAAAAGTTGCTCATTTTAGGTAGGTGGCTTATACCTGTGATCCTAACACTCGGGTAAGCTGAAGGAGGAGGATCACACAGAGTTTGAGGCCAATGTGGGCTACACAGTGAGTGAGTACAAGGCCAACCTGAACTACATAGTAAGACTGTCTCAGAAATAAAAAATGTAAAAAAAGAGAAAGTTTTGAATATATTTTAAAATTTAAAAATTATAAAGTAGTTTACTTAAGATGTTAAAAAAGAAAAATGATTTTAAGTTTCTTAAAGTTACAAAGTAATCTAAATTCTTTATAATTTCTGTAACTTTAGCTTAATTTGCTGAAGGGTAAAATAAGCTTTTGATTTAACCATGCTTATTTCATAGTGCTCTGAAATAGACTCCAAGGTTTTTAAACACTTGTTTTTTTCTATCACAAATTCCCATCTATCCCCCAAAATCTCAATGTCAATATATGCTTTATTACTCAACAGTATGCAAAGCCTTGATAATGGTAAATATACTCAACATCCTGTTAAGTTTATCATTACTGTAACACTGAGCAATGTTGAGTAGAGAAAAGGTGTCAATTTAGGAAAACTTCGGTCTAAACTGTAAGAAGTTACTATGTATTTATTTTGTTTTTTTTTCTGTTTAACTTCACATTTTAAGAGTTGGTACAATATAGAGTAACTCTACAATACTTGCTTTATCTGACACAATCATATTTTTAAAATTTCATTACTCATTTAAACCTAAATCTAGGAAATAATTTCAAGAAAGAGAACTGGGCCAGGGAGGTAGCTCAGTGGCACCACATCTGCCCGGCAAGTGCAAGGTCCTGAGTTTGACTCCAGATAGCAAAAAAAAAAAAAAAAAAAAAAAAAAA